GGTGAAAAAATAGGAGGAAAAGACTGGTGGGAAGAAGAATGCAAATGATTGATCACTTACGCGGGAAGAGAAAATACAAGATCAGAAAGCAGAAGTTTAGAAAGAAAATGCGTAAAAGTGTAAAATGCTAATAAAATAGTGAAGGAAAAAATGGTCTTACACCATGAACCTACCATCGAATAGAAAACCATTAATATATTAAACAAATATATTCTGAGTGGATATATGGATATTAATTTGGAATATGAACAAACAACACTCTTTTTTGCACTAATTCTTTAAATAATAATTTTACAAACGTTTCGAGACTAGAATTATCTCATCATCAGTCTATTAAAATAGACTACTACTTCACCAACGATCGTCGGAGTCCGAATTATCTATTCGAGGTCATGTGGTCAGTCACGCAATATCAAATAGGAAAGGAAGGAATAGGGCACAGTTGAAAAATAGCTAGGAAAAAAATATGAAAGGAGACGGTTCGTTCATAAAAATTGTTTTAAATTATTATAATTAAAAATATACGTACATAAATATAGAGAATTGGACTCCGACGATCGTTGATATAGCAGGCAGTTTATTGAACGACTTGTAACGGATAACACTTAATGCTAATTTAGGTTTCCATATTTTAGGTTTTAAATTTCAATACACTGATGATGAGACAAACCTAGTCTCGAAACGTTTGTAAAATTATTATTTAATATATATATATATATATATATTAAAATTTTTAGCAATTTTAAAATTTTTATAATCTTGTAAATAAATTTTTAAAAGTTTTGACGAAGCACAACACACAACGACTCGTACAATGTCGTTTATTTGTATGATAAATAGTTGAATTAGGCAGGTTCATAGTTAAATAACGACATTTTTACCCCTTTTCTCTTTGATAGTTCATACTTAGTAGGTACATATATTCGTTTAATGAATGCAAGTTTCAGCAACTTTCTTTAAGGAACAATATAATTCATCAATAGTTTATTCTATTTGATGATCTACTTATTATATAACTTCATGCGCACAACGTTTAATATTGATTCTATATAAAATAGTTTATATTATTCATACTGGAATAATCACCCGTTTCTTTATATAATTAAATATTTTACCCTTTACTGATCAGTTTTAATAATAATAAAGGCAGTGATCGGGCTTCAGGCAAAACCACCGCCTAACCCATTTTGCAGGCGTAGAAGAATTTTCACTTTGCTGACCAACCTGACGCCAAAGATATCCAGAGTAAAGTGCAGGCGCGCTTCCATCCAGCATCGCTCAGACCGGCAGAAAAGCGTTATAGTTCGTGCTACCTATCGTGGTCCAAGAGTAATACGTTTTGCTTTAATACATTTTTTCTAAATAAATTTAAGATTGGAATACATTAAAATAGGGTACACTCTATCAATTCGTGAATAAACTAAAACTAATGATACAAATACATCTGAAATGGTAGAGTGATATATACCTATATACATTTACATTTAATTGTTTCAAGATGCTCATACGTATTTTCTCCGGCACTTATATTTGTTAGTTAGATTGATATTATAAAAAAATGAACTTTGCACTTTGCACAATTTAATTATAAGCCCATAGAGAAGATATACTCGCATTTATTGCGGAGAAAGCGAATAAAGTGATAGCTAATCTTTTTCTTAATAAGCTTATTTAGGTTTCAGAATCATGTGATATTATTTAGGTATTACAATAGTAATATGGTTATTAAAATAGTAATAATTGTTTCTACGTAAATCTGAACAAGTTAGTGTAATAATTTAGAACTTTCCGCCCACACATTTTTATTTCATATACTCATTTATATATTCATTTATTTATTATATTCATTTCAACAAATAATATATTATAACTATATATGTAAAAAACAAAAGCATCTAAGTGGTTAACTATACTAATTATACAGAATATGAACATTCCATGCCGCAGTAATATGCTTTCATAAAAAGTAAACTCTCACTCATCAAGTAAAATTTATACAAGAAATAAAATTTTACAGTAAATTGTTAAAACCAATATTCTAGTAATCACGCAAATAAAATATGAACAGAATATTGCATAGAATACGCGATATCATTTTATAAAGAAATCGAAACAACTAGAAATATCAAATAATATAAGATGTTGATAACGCAAAATACAAATTTATTATTAAAAATATTAAAGGACACAATCCAAATTGTAATAAAATTCATTATAGAAAGATATGTACTTAAAATAATTTGTTATTATTAAACAAACGATTGCTCAATTCCTATTGTGGTTCAATGCCATTTAATATTCACATTAATTACAGCCCAAAAAATGTTACTGTAAAATTGCTTAATGATTAAATAACTTTATTTCCGACATAAAAAAATTGTATAAATAAATGCATAAATATCTCATAATCTTGCAAAATATTTATTCGTGTGTTATTTTTAATCATTTGCGCAATCGTTTAAGTTATCTACAGTTATAAAAGTCCGTGAAAAATAACATCTACAAAGTATAAATATCAAGATCACTTAAAATACGCATTACGTATTGTTCACATTCGACTGCTAGTCTATTTTGAACTGAGACGATTAATAATTGTTACACTTATTTTTTCTGCTCTACGTAATACGTTGACCTACTCCTTCGAGAGTAGGTTATATATTGTTAAGTGCTTCGATTAACTAACCTCTAGTTCGAGGACATCGCTGCCTGCGTGCGCCAAACGCACAACCTCGGAATGCGTTTTATCCAGCACTGGGACGCCATTGACGCTGAGGACAATATCACCGACCTCAAGGCCGCAGGATTCAGCAGGCGTATCAGGCTCAATAGCTGAGACCACCACAGGCTTCGAACCATGTATTCTGAAGCCAAATTCACCGCCTTCACGTCGGACAATTACCGTTTTATCTGTTTCTGTAAGTGATATGTAATTACAACAATAGGACCAGTTTCTAGATTGTTTCTCGAAAATTGCAAAGTGACTATTGTCTACCTTACAAAAATTATGTATAATGATAACCATACTTCAGGAATTTCAGAAGAATTTTTTAGTCTATTTCAGTATTTTACAATTTCTGGCGATCACACTATTTAAGTCAAATTTACTATAATTAAAGTTTAATATTTAAATATTTAGCATAGTATAACTTGACTGTTTTTTTTTAAATAACACAAGCAATGTTATAACAATGCGTAATCGCATTGCCATACATATTACGACCTACGTAATGCAAATTTTTGAAATTTATGATTTTTTTAAGTTGCATCATACCTGTTTTACAGCAGTAATTATCTGTTAGGATACGTTCAAAATAATGATGGTCACAATCAATTTATGTTAATTTAATTACCAAGAGGCGTCCATTAATCACGTGAGCGAGTTTTTAAGGATTTCTGGACCCCCCTCCCCCTTGGTGATACATGGCGATATTCAAAATTACCCCCCCCCCTCCCCCACCAAACATCACGTGTTTTTT